CTAGTTGTTCCAGAATGCAAAAATATTAGCTCAAGCAAATACTCAAGACTGAGGACATTATCACACGTGGGCCAGAAAACGAAAATAAAGTGGAAATGAGGCATTCCGAAAATAAACCGAAAATAAACCTTGATTCCGCAAATGTCTTTCACACGTAATTACCTTAATTGCGAATTTACAGTAAGCGAATTTAATGTTCACACACAAGCAAGAAAAGCCTGTAAATGTACTAGAAATGAGCCTCTTGCACATGCACAGATAGAGGAATGCTCACTGGAATCATGGGAACAGCAGGGAAATGCTCCCAAATGCGCATTTGCTTTTCACATTACGGTAAATGCGAAATTACCTTAATTTCGCATTTGCATTTCCTCCAAACAACCGAATTTCAAAAGATCTCGGTTAACACAAGTTTCTGTCCACTTTCTGTCCAGTTTCTGTGCGACATCGTGTGAAAATGCGAGGCACAAATCCAGTTTCTGTTTGGGATTTGTGTGGATTAACCAGCAGATTTGCCCCCGTGTGATAACGTCCTGCATTTACACGTACACACACATACACACACACAAACAAACAGGAGGTAGGTGGAATGAGCTGTCAACATACAGAAAAAGTACTCCATGAAGATAGATTTAGAGGTAATGGAGATGATATTTCTTGGGTCTTACTGAATTTTCCTGAGAAGAAGCTCATGAATGTCATGCTTCTAGCTGAAGCAACAGAGAAGAGGAAAATTAATCAAGTGCCTCTCAGCCAGAGCCAGGCTTCTGAGAAAGAGAATAAGACAATTTTCAAAGAAATAGCCATGTAAAGAAGGAAGGGGGAATGGGGAATAGAAAAATATGTGGCAGCACCTTTTTAACTTGTTTTTATTTATGCATATATCCACAAAAGCTCATGCAAAAATAAAAATCAGTCTTAAATGTGCTTCCACTTTTTTCCTCCTTTTTAGAATAAAATAAAGAGATCCTCTTCCTGAATTACAGGTTCTAGACATCCAGAGAGAGAGAGAGAGTAGTTTCCGACAAGCCTAAAACTCCAGGCATCAGTGATTTCAGTTTTAAAAGAGCTAGGCTAGGCAAAACCTTGCCAGAGACTTCAGCAATATTTCAGCAAAAGACCTGGAAGACTAGGAGACAATAAGCTTTTTTAGAAATCAGAACTCAGAGGTGAAAGCTCCAAGCAATCCCTCCCTGGCAATGAAGTCAGCATTAGAATTTGTGTTCTGTTATATAGTTTTGTGCTAGGGAAAGATCCATTAAGCTATGGTTACCTTACCCAGGCTTGCATGTTTCAAAATCTTGATCTGTCTCAAAATCTTGCATCATTTTGCCAGTGGGAAGGCAAAACTATGAAAGAATGAATGACCAATGCTCACCTTTGAAATAGAAGAGATTCTGGCTATATTTTGACTAATAAAAGAGCAACATATTGAGCTCATCATCCTGCTCCAAAGGTCATCTCCTTTATGATTATGATTTTCCTGGCTATTTACACATTGATTACCATCTGCAGGACATCACACTAAGGAATAAAACTGTTTAATTGAGAAGTGTTCACTCATGACTAATATTTAAATCATTCTCCATAAAATACACTCACTCACTAGTGGTGATAGTTAATGGAGCATGCATCTATGCTGTAGAAATGATGCAGTTTTGACACCAGAATTCCAAGGCAGCAGTGTCTTGAGAAACTGAGAAAAGAATTCCATGCAAGGCTGGGGTGATATCTGATATCCAACTTCTTCATCTCCAAATTTAACCAGATTTCCTACAACCATGTGCTAACTCTAATCTCCACAACCTCTCTCCACAGGGTGATTCTGGAGGACCCTTGGTTTGCAATCACACTGGAATCTGGATCCAGGCTGGAATTGTGAGCTGGGGAATAGGCTGTGGTGAACCCAACCTCCCTGGTGTTTATACCTCAGTTCCTTTCTATGCTGATTGGATCCAAGCAAAGATTAATGGCGGACTGCCCCCAGCTCCCAGTGTGACATTCATTTTACTATCTCTTTTTTTAAAAATAATTTGTAGTAGAATGATATAATATAGAGTATATGCAGTGTGCATACAGTTTTTGTATCTTCTCAATATAATATTATTGGTACAATACTAATAATCTTAATGCATTTGTATTTTCCCCTACCTTTTCTTTTTAATAGCCTTTGAAGAAGGCCATACGAATATTTCATGATTGAAACATATGGGACTAATTTGTGGAATAAAACCTTTTTTTAATGCATGCTGAGATTTAGGCTTCATCTGCACTGGAGAAATAATCCCATTCAAGACCACTTTCACAGCCATATTTCAATGCTATGGAATTCTGGGA